GAAACTCATGTTGCCAACATGGAAGCTCGCCGCCATGACCCTACCGCCAGCGTGAGCACCGATGACACCGCTAATGAGAAGAGCGAGATTGGCGACGAGGAGCACACCGAAGCTGAGGTCACCCGCCTAGCCCAGCAACTCACCCGCCAGTCAACACGCTTCTCTGTCTCGAGCCAACATGCAGAGAACACTTTCATCGAAGTCCATGAGGACTCAACCCTCAACCCTAGCAGTGCAAACTTCAAGGCCAAGAATTGGATGAAGAATCTCCTTGCGATCCAATCCCGCGACCCAGAACGATATCCCAAGCGACAGGCTGGTCTGTCATTCAAAACCCTCAGCGTACACGGATTCGGCAGTCCCACAGATTACCAGAAGGATGTGGCCAACTCCGTTCTGCAAATTGGTGCCTTGTTCCGTGCGATGGCCGGCACTGGCAAGCAGAAGATTCAGATCCTGCGCGACTTTGATGGTCTCGTTAAGAGTGGCGAGATGCTGGTCGTTCTCGGCCGTCCTGGGTCTGGCTGTTCGACATTCTTGAAGACCATTGCAGGAGAGATGAACGGTATTTTCAAGGATGACAACTCTCACATGAACTACCAAGGAATCTCCGACAAGCAGATGCAACACCAGTTCCGCGGTGAGGCCATCTACACTGCCGAAACCGATGTCCATTTCCCTCAGCTTTCTGTGGGAAATACTTTGAAATTTGCCGCTCTAGCTCGTGCCCCACGCAACCGCTTGCCGGGCGTCACTCGTGAGCAGTATGCAGAGCATATGCGTGATGTCGTTATGGCCATGCTTGGTCTTTCGCACACTATCAATACCCAGGTCGGTAACGATTTCATCCGTGGTGTCTCCGGTGGTGAACGCAAGCGTGTCAGTATCGCCGAGGCCACCCTCTGCGGCAGCCCTCTCCAGTGCTGGGATAATAGTACTCGTGGTCTGGACAGTGCCAATGCCCTGGAGTTCTGTAAGACATTGAGCCTGATGTCCAAGTACTCGGGTACCACCTGTGCGGTCGCTATCTACCAGGCATCCCAGAGTGCCTACGATGTCTTCGACAAGGTGACTGTGCTGTACGAGGGTCGACAGATCTACTTTGGCCGCACCACCGAGGCCAAGGAATTCTTCACCAACATGGGCTTCCAATGTCCCGACCGCCAGACTACCGCCGATTTCCTGACCTCTCTTACTAGCCCCGCTGAGCGAATTGTTAAGCCTGGCTTTGAGAACATGGTTCCCCGTACGCCCGACGAGTTCGCCACTGCTTGGAAAAACAGTGCTGCGTACAAGGAGCTTCAGAAAGAGATCGCCGACTACGATGCGCAGTACCCTATTGGTGGCGAGTCGTTCGACAAGTTTGTCGAATCTCGCAAGGCTATGCAGTCGAAGGGTCAGCGCGTCAAGTCTCCATACACCCTATCTGTCTCCGAGCAGGTCCAAATCTGTATGACTCGTGGTTTCCAGCGTTTGCAGGGTGACTACAGTTTAACTATATCCGCCTTGATTGGAAACACGATTATGGCATTGATTATCGGCTCAGTTTTCTTCCAGTTGCCCGACGACGTGACCAGTTTCTACTCTCGTGGTGCCCTCCTCTTCTTCGCTGTCTTACTCAACTCCTTCTCCAGTGCCCTGGAGATTCTAACTCTTTACGCGCAACGCCCTATTGTCGAGAAACAAGCCCGCTACGCCATGTATCATCCGTTTGCCGAAGCGATTTCGTCAATGCTTTGTGATATGCCTTATAAGATCCTTAATGCCATAACATTCAACGTCACGCTCTACTTTATGACTGGTCTTCGCCAAACCGGCGGCGCCTTCTTCACCTTCCTACTCTTCTCGTTCGTGACTACTATGTCCATGTCTATGATTTTCCGCACCATCGCTTCTTACTCGCGTACCCTGTCTCAGGCTCTGGTGCCCGCCGCCATCCTGATCCTCGGTCTGGTTATCTACACTGGTTTCACCATCCCAACCCGCAACATGCTTGGTTGGTCTCGCTGGATGAACTACATTGACCCAATCGCTTATGGTTTCGAGACCTTGATTGTGAATGAGTTCCACGGTCGCAATTTCACCTGCAAACCAGAATCTTTCATCCCGGCGGGAGACTCCTACGCGGATGTCGGCCGGTTCAACAAGATCTGCTCGTCAAAAGGAGCCGTAGCCGGCCAGAACTATATCACCGGCGAGGCCTACTACACTGCAAGCTTCCAGTACTCCAACAGCCACCGGTGGAGGAATTTTGGAATCATGATTGGATTCATGCTCTTCTTCATGTGCACCTACCTCGTTGGTACTGAGTACATCTCCGAGTCCAAGTCCAAGGGTGAGGTTCTGCTTTTCCGTCGTGGCTACGCCCCCAAGCACTCTGAGGATGACGTTGAGCAGACACACGCTGTGTCTTCTGCTGAGAAGAAGGATGGCGCTAGCTCCGACGGCGAACAAACCTCGGCTGCAATCCAGAGACAAACTGCTATCTTCCAATGGCAAGACGTGTGTTACGATATTCACATCAAGAAGGAGGAACGCCGCATTCTCGACCATGTTGATGGCTGGGTTAAGCCTGGTACCTGCACTGCTCTTATGGGTGTTTCTGGAGCTGGTAAAACCACTCTTCTGGATGTCCTTGCCACACGTGTAACAATGGGTGTTGTGTCCGGTGAAATGTTGGTCGATGGCCGTCCTCGTGACCAGTCTTTCCAGCGTAAGACTGGCTACGTTCAACAACAGGATCTCCATCTCCACACTACCACGGTCCGTGAGGCTCTCCGCTTCAGTGCTGTTCTTCGTCAGCCGCGTCACGTTTCTCGCCAGGAGAAACTCGACTATGTTGAGGAAGTGATCAAGCTTCTTGGAATGGAACACTATGCGGATGCCATCGTCGGTGTCCCCGGTGAAGGTCTCAACGTCGAACAGCGCAAGCGTCTTACTATTGGTGTCGAGCTAGCTGCTAAGCCGCAGCTGCTTTTGTTCCTGGACGAGCCCACTTCGGGTCTCGACAGTCAAACATCTTGGTCTATCTTAGATCTTATTGATACCTTGACTAAGCACGGTCAGGCTATTCTCTGCACTATTCACCAGCCCTCTGCCATGCTCTTCCAGCGCTTCGACCGTCTTCTGTTCCTCGCCAGGGGTGGTAGAACCGTCTATTTCGGAGAAATCGGCGAGCATTCTTCCACGCTTTCTAACTACTTTGAACGAAACGGTGCTCCTAAGCTTTCTCCCGAGGCCAACCCTGCCGAGTGGATGCTTGAGGTCATTGGAGCTGCTCCCGGAACCCATAGTGATATCGACTGGCCTGCCGTGTGGCGTGACAGCCCTGAGCGTAAGGAAGTCCACAACCACCTCGCCGAGCTTAAGAACAACCTTTCTCTGAAACCCGTTGCCACGACCGACAACGACCCAACTGGCTTCAACGAATTCGCCGCACCATTCGCCGTCCAACTCTGGGAGTGTCTCGTCCGCGTGTTCAGCCAATACTGGCGGACCCCCGTCTACATCTACTCCAAGATTGCGCTCTGCTCCTTGACAGCCCTCTACGTCGGTTTCTCCTTCTTCCACGCCCAGAACAGTATGCAGGGACTCCAGAACCAGATGTTCAGTATCTTCATGTTGATGACGGTCTTCGGTAACTTGGTGCAACAAATCATGCCTCACTTCGTCACCCAGCGTTCTCTCTACGAAGTCCGCGAGCGCCCCTCCAAATCATACTCTTGGCAAGCCTTCATGTCGGCAAACATCATTGTCGAACTCCCATGGAACGCCCTGATGTCTGTCCTCATCTTCCTCTGCTGGTACTACCCTATCGGGCTGCAACGCAACGCTAGTGCCGACGACCTCCACGAGCGCGGCGCCCTGATGTGGCTCCTCATCCTGACCTTCATGATCTTCACCAGCACCTTCGCTCACATGATGATTGCCGGTATCGAGCTCGCCGAAACGGGAGGAAATCTCGCCAACTTGCTCTTCTCTCTGTGTCTGATCTTCTGTGGTGTCCTCGCCACCCCAGACAAAATGCCCCACTTCTGGATCTTCATGTACCGCGTCTCGCCATTCACCTACCTAGTCTCTGCAATGTTGTCGACCGGCACATCCGGCGCAAACGTCTACTGCGAGGCTGTCGAGATGCTCCACTTCGAGCCCACTGCCGGCAAGACCTGTTTCGAATACATGGACACCTACATCAACGGACTTGTCGTCAACGGAACCCAGGTCGCTCGTGGTGCTGGCGGTTACCTCCTTGACAACAACGCCACTAGCGACTGCGCTTTCTGCACCATCGATAAGACCGACACTTACCTCGCCAGCGTGCTGAGTTACTACAGCGACGCGTGGCGCAACTTCGGTATCATGTGGGCGTTTATCTTCTTCAACATCGCTGCTGCTGTGGGTATATACTGGCTTGCTCGTGTCCCCAAGGGAACACGCAGCAAGAAGACTAAGACTGCTTGATTGACGTTTTTTACCATCTTGTGGTTTTCTTTTTTTTCTTTTTTTTTGGTTCAACTGAACAGATTCCCGATGGCTACTATTCCTCCCTGAAAAACACTCTGCGTTAGACCGCCATATCTAATCCTCCACTCTTCTTGTTGCACATTATCTTGTTCATATATTACACTTGGTCTTGCAGATGGGGATGCTCTAGATAATACATATACTAGCTTAAACTTCTTGTTCAATTACATGGTTATCACATTTCTCAATCATCTCTCATGCACACTTAATAATAGACAGCACAGTAAATCACCTTCTAATGTCCTCAACAAGACATTATTCAAATATTTATGGCTAAAGTCTGGAGATTATGATACTGGTAGTGTACGGAGTATACAGTTATGAATTAAGCAACGATAAAAGCGCACCGCCAACCGCAAAGCAACGGAGAAGGGAAAAAAAGCCTGCATTAAACAAAATAACAAGAAAGAAACACCACCCCTTAGGGATCAAAAAAGCTCAAAAAACACATGTACAAACAATCCACAGAATGGAAATCACCACGTAAAAGCCTCCTCCGCAAAATCAATCACAGCCCCCTTCCCAATCCTCTCCCTCGCCGCAGACCGAACCTCATCCGCAAAAGCCCCAGGCCCACAAACACTAACCAGCGTAGCCCCAGTCCGTCCGGGCAGAATCTCATCAAGAACAACATCCGGCCTACACCTCCCAGAATGCATAAGCACCGTCGCCGATGGACTAACGATATCCGCCGCGCGACGCGGCTTCGAGACGAAAAGCTTAACAACGAGGATATCCCTCCGATTCGGCAAGCGCAGGATCTGGTCCATGTACTTACTCACCCAGGTGAGGTGGTCTGTAGAGCGGACCGACCAGATCAGATAGACTTTCCGCGTTGCGGCGGTGTTCTGTGCTGCGGCTGTCACGAGCGCGCGCGTGTAGAGCAAGTGGTGGGTTATTCCTGCGCCGGCGCTGAAGAGGACTGTTGTGCCGTAGCTGGAGGGGTTTGTTGGGTGTGAGCCGTAGGGGCCTTCGATGAAGCCTGATAATGTGAGGGTTTTGGAGGGGGAGGCGTTGGCGAGGTTGAAGAGACGGCGGGTCATGCCTTTTTGGGCGCCGATTATGAGGGAGACTTGGGTTGTTGGTTTTGTGGGTTTGGTTGGGAGGTCCGATTGTTTTTCTAGGTCGTTGTATCCTTTGCCAAGTGTTTGTGTTTGTGGTTGGGTTGCGGAGGGGATTAATGCTGCTGTGTTGCTCGTGCTGGGTTCGGCCCAGGCGATTGAGAATGGGTGTGACATCCACCATGAGATGCTGGGGATGTAGGCGAATACGTGGCAACCCGGTTCGATCTGGACGAGTTTGGGCAGGTGGAAGGTTACGCGGCAGGCTTCGCCTGGGAGAGCTTCGACGACCATTGTTGTCGTACCTGAGGTTGAGATGTTCAGGTGGACGAGACGGAAGAGGCGCGCGAGTCGGTCGCCGAGCCAGATGCAGGCGATTGTTCTCGCCCAGCTTTGCTGTGGGAGATTGTCTAGCTTCAAGTGCAGCCATACGCCGACGAAAGCGAGCACTGCGGCGAGTTGGTGCAGATGGAGGAAGGTCTCGTAGAAGGCGTGGCGGATGGGCGACGGGGAGTGTAGACTGAGGAAGACCATTGCGGCTGTGCCTACCAGGCCCCATAGGAAGAAGGGGGTATCACGCACGCGGACAAGCATGCGGCTGAAGTCTTCCTCATCGACGGCGTTGACGGCCCATGCAGCTGTGTGGGCGACTGACTCGAGGACGACCATGCGGCCTAGCCAGCGGTGGAGGAGGTTGTATGTGTCAAAGCTGATGTGGAGTATTGCGATCAAGGGGTTGTTTCGGCCGGCGAGGAGGAACAGCGGGACCATATTGAGGACGGCCAGCGTCCCGGATCGGCCGCGCAGCTCGGCCACCAAGGCTGCCTTGTTGTTGACGCTATAATCCAGGATGACGCAGTATGCGACCTGGGTAGCGAAGTATAGTGCGACCAGGAGGGTCTGCAGTCGGGAGGGTAAGGTGCCGACGTTGACAGCGGAAGAGAGCTGTAATTCTCGGTTGTGTCTCTTCTTTCCTAAGGGGGCGTATAGGACGTGCTTCTTGACGTTGGGCCACCACGTTGATTGTTCCTGGGCCCAAAAGGTCTGCTGGCGCTTGTCTGCGCTATTTGCGGTGATTTGGCGTAGATAGGCATGGCTGATCTGGGCAACCCGGCCACAGAACAATGCGACTGCCACGACGCTCAGGGTAACGTAGATAATCCGAGTAAAGATCACGTCACGAGGGACGTCCACGCCACCCAACCCCCTTGAGTACTCATAGATGTATGTGGCATTTGACCCGTACCCTCGTGCCGCGATATGTGAATGAGTTGCTGCCATTGAACAGGTGCAACTATTGAAGAAAGAAAGATAGAAAGATGTTGTGGTCGGAGCAGAAAATATGCAAGGTTGTGGTTTCGATGTTCGAACAACCCCCTAGTCGAGATGGCGATCTAGAATGTCTCAAGCTGCTCCACAGCTGAGATCGAAATATGAAGATTTGCAAGTCGAGTAGATGTGGGCGTTTGCGGGGAATCGAAGTCGAGACGGTGGGTAGATCAGATGAAATGGATTATAAACAGGGCTAGCGAAAGTGCGTCGATATAGATAGCGACCTCTTTGATTGTATTAGACAAAGACAATGTCTTATAATGAGAACATTGCGGCTTGTTCGTTTGAGGTTGACAATGAACAATGAGGATTGTTTTATGAATGTCCAGGTTGAAGTCAACAAAGCGACCCAAAATAACCCCGATCTTTGGAATTCCAGAGAAATTAGCAGGTCACCAAGAATCGAAGTTCGGTAAAGACTCACTCTCAAAATGCGTCTGGAATGCAAGCAAGGGGGTGGCACGTTTTTTTATGTTTAGAATGAAATCGGACAATGCAGCGGTAGTCCAGACCAGGAGATATAGAGTCAAGCTCAAGCAAGTTCAATAAAGAGAGTAAGAGAGTGTATTCAAACCAATCGAGACCAGCCGACTATCAAAGCCAAGAGAATGGAAGAAAAGAAGAAAAAAATATGAAAGACAAGATCGGCCCTGAAGGAGTTTTGACGGAGAAAAGGAAAGCATGAAAAAGCATGGACATATATTCTGCAAAGCCCCTGTATGGTCTGATTAGCAAGTGTTCAAGGCGTTTAAATGACAGACAGCCCTATCGGGATAACTCCTTTGGTGGCACTAAAGACGCCAGTGTTTCTGACAAGACTAGTGGCCCCTTTCGATAGGCGTAGTTTGTTGATGATTTGCTGATGATCCCTGCAGATCCGAGGTCGAGTCTGGGCGTGACGCCTTTGGATAAGGGCCGGGCTCTGAAACATTCATTAATTGTGTAGACTCCCGGGGACTCCAAATTTTCCGGTGAACACCCGGTGCAAAACCCGTAAACATGTGTAGTTCATCAGGCCGGTGTTTTATTCTAAGACATTGGCTTTGTCGAGGTTTCAGGTCGCAGGGCTGTGCACTGACCACCCCTTGACCTCCGTACGGAGACACATACGGAGACAGATACGGAGTACGAAGTACACATCGGACGATAATCTAACCTTAAGCCAAGAAAAGAGTCATATGTCCAATTTATTCAAACTAATATACGTTATATTCATATTCATTTTCATTTTCAACATTTACCGTCCCATCCATCCACCGTCAACTGTGAGAATCTCGCCAGACACATAACTGCTAGCCTGACTAGCCAGATACACCACAGCGCCCTTGAAATCTTCGGGCTTTCCCCATCGGCCAGCAGGAATGCGTGCCATGATACCGGCGTTACGGTCAGCATCAGCAATAAGGGCGGTGTTCATGTCGGTAGCAATATAACCGGGGGCAATCGCATTGACATTGATTCCCTTGGCAAGCCAGTCATTCGAGAGCGCTTTGGTCAACTGCCCAATGCCACCCTTGGATGCCGCATAGGCGGGGACCGTAATCCCACCCTGGAAGGTGAGCAAAGATGCGACGTTAATGATGGACCCACGGCGACCTTGTGGGAATTCAGAGGCGTCGCGAGCCAACAGATATGCGGCGAATTCTCGGCACATGATAAAGACGGAGGATAAGTTGACTTCCAAGACCTATATATCATTCCACGAATGAGACACAACGTTTCAAGGGGCGGATTTATATTGCGGGTTTATGTCGGGGAGCGGTCTCGACTCACCTCGTCCCAGTCCTCATCCGGGAATTTTTCCGCCGGGTGTCTCCGTTGGATCCCTGCACAGTTTACCAGAATCTCGGGTTTCAGTCCTTGGCTGGTCAATGCAGGGATAATGCCTTTGACAGCTTGGCGATCCCCAAGCTCGGCGACATGGATCCATGCCTTACGGCCAAGGCGATTAATGATCTCGTCCTTGGTTGATGTGTTGGTGGTGTCTCTCTATTAGGTTGTTACCATGTGCTCTCTAACTTCTTTCCTTGCGCGTGACTCACCTGAATCAAGATAATGTCGGCGCCGGCCTCAGCCAAGGCAAAGGCCATAGCTTGGCCAATACCTCGTGTTCCACCGGTGACAAGGGCGGTTTTCCCGCTTAGGGAGAAGAGGGACATTACATCTGCCATTGTGAATACGGATATGAATATGAAGATGAAAAGGATTTTGGAATAAAAAACAAACCAAAAGAAAACCAAGCGAACCAACTGGGAGGAGCTCCAAATAAGAAATCCACTCAGGGCAAACCGAGAACGCGGGGTTACTCCGGGCAATACCTATAGCCGAAGTCAATAGCCGTCGGCAATTGAAACGGTAGTGTTTTTCCTCACATTAAAAAGATGAGTGGCTCTTAAATAGTTATATGAAGAGGTGAGACATTTTTAATATTCTAATATTCTAGTATTCTAGTCAATTTATTCTAATATTCTAATATTATCTATTCTAAAAGGAAGATTATACGCACAGCATAGATAGTTTATGAAGGCCAAAGTACAACATAGAGAGCATTCAAGGTTTCCACGGTTGGAGCACCTTCCCCCACATGGGAGGCGCTGGGGGCTGCATGGGATGAGTAAGGGTCTGCGGACTTCTCTGTGGGGACGTTGGACTTTGATTTCATACTCTTCAATGTTCCTTCTATATAGCCATGGACGAAGAATCCCCGTCAGAAGCCTCGCGGCGCGATATTGCCAAGCGCGTTTCTCGAGCCTGCCTGCATTGTAGACAACGCAAGTCTCGATGTGACCTGTAAGACTATCTATTTTTTCTCATTCCCTACTATTTCAGCCACTGGATGCCTTGATATCTTTCCCCGGATCGGCAATATATTGGTTCCGCGCTGATCGCATGCAGAGACTCTAATGGTAACCCTGGCAAACCACCATGCCAGCGCTGCGTACGCGAAAATCGCGAATGTGTACTAGGCGGCTCAAATCGTGGAGGTCGTCGAATCCGAAAGAACAAAATCAAAAACTTTACACCAGCCAATCAGTCGCCAGACAAGGATTCAGAAGCATCAAGCCCAACCAACTCGGAAAACCGCAGAGTGCAATCGGCATCTTATCCCGGCCCGTTGGTATTCTTGCCACCTAATCCACCAGCACCAGCCTCAGCATCTGTCGAGGAAGATGATACCTCAATATCATCTGTCCCGCGAAATCCATCAGACGCCTGGCAATGCTTGACCGGCATCGCCACAGAAGGCACAGGGGCAATACCCGAGGTCCACAACGACCATGTTCGGGCGGAGCCAACAGCGTTCCCAGCATACAACAGCCTGCGCAACGGCGTTGTATCAGACTTTAGCAACCAGACTACAGGTATCCGGGCCTACAGACTCGTTCAGACGTGCGCTCTAGACCCGGAAACGGTGTGGCAATTGATCTCCCGCTACGCGGAAAATTTCCATCCGTATCTTCCCCTCGTGCCGCGGAAGTACTTCACGCGCACGGCCCTAGACGCCTTCGCCGCTAATGAGAAGCACCTGCTCACTGCAGTCCTGACCATCGCCTCGAAGGACTTGGTCGACCAGCCTGAGATCCACGAGTACTGCTCCAAGTACATGCACGAGCTGATTTCCGGCATCGCTGCAGGCGCGGAGTGCGATGTTGAAGCGGTCGAAGCGCTTCTATTACTTGCCGAGTGGGAACCGCAGGGACTACGCCCTCGTATCGAGCGCGTTGGGCGCGGAGAGGAAGACCGCGCGGCGTGGATGCATGTCGGGCTTGCGCTGCGCTCGGGGTACTTCATCGGCATGGATCGCACTTCTTTCCGTGGGGATCCTTATGGTGATCACGAGAGCGAGGCTCGTCGGCGGTTGGCCTGGGCGAGCTGCTATGTCTCTGATCGACTGATTTCTGTGCGTATTGGACGTGCTTTCTGGTCTCGTGGCCCGGGGCCCATGACTGGTCTTGTCAGTCAGGATTTCCCGTCGCTGCAACCGGTCAACGAGGGCGAGGAGGACTATGCGAAGATCTTTCAGGCTATGCTGGATCTTACGCAGCTTTATGGGAATGTTCATGAGGTTTTGTATTCGGGGATGCGTACTAGTAACCAGATGATGTTGATGGGAGACTATGTTAAATATGTGGATGATTTCCGTTTGGCAATTCTGCGGTGGAAGTCACTTTGGGGGTCCCTGGATTGTAAGTTGGGATTTTCTTGACTCTTTGAGCTTCTGGGTGTGTCTTGGTTCTAATATATCAATAGGCTCACCACCTATGCGAGCAACACTGCAGTTGTCATACGAGTACCTGCGACTGTATACAACTGCTTTCGCGTTCCAAGCGGCGATCTCGCAGTCGCTAGTCAAACCGAAAACCGACCTACAAGGCCAACGAGAACATCTACGATCGACGTTCAAGAATGTCGCATCGATGCAGGATTCACGGTTCATTTATGAATCTGTCGATGCGGCCAAGTCATACCTGACAATCCTTGTGGATCTGGTCGATCCTGAGAAGCATCTGCATTTCATGCCTCTCCGCTTCTACTTGTAAGTTTTCCTTTCATCACGTGTTATGTTGGGGCAAACAGCTCATGCGATTTAGGTATGGCATCTACTCTGCCGTTTTCCTCTACAAGGTAAGATCCCTGCTCGAGTACCCTCCTCTTCTGCATATCATCTGACCGATACCATAGGCTCGTTCCTTCGGAATGATGGTTCCATCAGAAGAAGCAAAAGTCCAAGGCCTAGTCATCCGAACAACCGAAGTCCTCAAACAAGCAAGCGCAGGAACCGACGACGTCGGGTCCCGCTATGCTCGTCTTCTAGAGCTTCTGTGGAAGCCCAAATCCACGAACCCTTCCGAAGAGACACAGCAGAGTAGTGACTTTTCATTGCAAACAGCCCTTCCAAACCCGGTCGCAGACCCAGGATACATGCAATTCAGCCCTGCCAATGACTT